CTCTCAAAGACGCCGCTGCATGAGCTAACCCTAAGCGCCACCACCGCTCTCGTTGTGCCACCGCCAAACCCACAGCGCTACTGCGTCCGCACCGCCACTCTCCTTCATAGCCATCGCTCCCTCGCGCTTGTGCTGCCTCCCGGTGTGCGTCGTGCACCCGCCGTCGCCTGCGTGTATCTATGCTCGCCGTCGTTGTGGGCATTGGCCTGCACTAGCTCTGGCAATCATGTACTCCTTTTCTGGCAAACCTCCTTGTCTTTCTTAGTAGCACCTTCCCGGTGTACATAGGTTCAGCAATAACAGTAGGTTCCTCCCCTAAGATTTATGCCCTCAATGTGTTTAACAAAATGCATGATTCAATGTGTCCTTCCTATTTCAAACCCTAAACATGGACACGTCCTTGCTTCTCCCTTGTAGATCTTCGTTAATCGTGTCGGGCTCTTGTGTAGTTGCATAGGTTTGTGAAACCTTGCTAATTAGAATTGTAGCTCCCACTAGTTCGGCACCTTAGATATATCTTGCCTAGGATCTTTTGTAAGATTCTTTAATCTGTGATTTAAATAGAGGGATGTAGTCAAGGCTAGACCGAATAGTTTAATTTTACATTTGTTTCGGTTAACCGATGCAATTAAGTTCATAAATGATTATTCATATCCCCTCTCTAGTCCGTCATCTCGATGTAACAAGCGTTCATAAGACTAGATCTAAGTTTTCATACGTGTCGATGATGCAAGCTAGATTTTGACTCAACTTAAAAGATTAATGAATAAATCAATATTATTAGTAGGATTCTTTATGGTATACATGCATATACTAGATTACTTGGGATGAGAGGGAGATTCAGAGAGGAGAAAGAGGACAAAGGACAGTGAGACAGACAATTATATGGATAAAAATAAAGTCATACAAATCTCACAACACAACCAAATTTCAACAATTATGATTTTTGTATTAATATATGTTGTCGTGCTATCATGTACCATATGTACGGATAAAAATATACTTTATATATGATACAGGAAGAGTTTTCAAAATTAAAGTCTTATTGTTAGTGCACGGTTATGAAGAATTTTTTTTATACATACATGCGTGTCACACGCGTGTGTCTACTAGTTTTAACAATGTATTAGTGTACTTCCCTTATGAAGAGCTCCTTTTAGTGTTTGTTGCTCAAAATGACGCATAATTTGAATAATTATTTTATGATAATAACTCAATTTAAGTTAATGCTGACCTCTTAAAATGTCTCATGGTTCCATGATGAATTTTGATTTCGGATCCCGTTTGCCATCTAAAAGAAAATCAATTTTGATATTTTTTGACAAAAGTGGTTTACATAATTATATGTTATTAGAATTAGAATTGATTCACATAAGTATATTTACTAGTTTGTACTAAAACACAAAAATTAGGTCAAATCATTTTATCCTAACTATTTTTTCTCTCTACCTGTACAGCTTAGAAAAACGCTTACTAAACAGAGCAACTGTGACGGCCGTGCAGTACTGCAGTCGGTCCACACTAAACGTTAATACTGCCGCCCAGACACGAAAATACTGCCGCCCAGACACGAATTGATCAATGAATCTCTCATGCAGTAGTATATCAACGGACCACTCCTCACGCTTCTCGCCGTGATGGCCAACCTAGCGGCCCAGCTCGCTGCCGTGCTCCAGGCCTGCATCAAGCGTAGCGGCGGCCCCAAGCCCAGCCGCGCACGCGCGCGTCCTCGCCGCCGACACTTTCCTCCTCAACCGCCTCGTCGATCTCTACTCCCTCTCGGGCCTGCCATGCCACGCGCTCCGCGCCTTCCGCGCGCTGCCCCGCCCCAACGTCTACTCCTACAACGCCGCCATCTCGGCTGCCTGCCGCGCGGGGGACCTCGCCGCCGCCAGGGACCTGCTCGGCCAAATGCCCGACCGAAACGCCGTCTCCTGGAACACCGTCATCGCCGCCGCCGCGCGGTCGGATTCCCCGGGGGAAGCGCTGGAGATGTACCAGGGGATGCTGCACGAGGGCCTCGAGCCGACGAACTTCACGCTCGCCAGCGTGCTCAGCGCGTGCGGCGCCGTGGCCGCGCTCGATGACGGGAGGCGCTGCCATGGGCTCGCCGTCAAGGTCGGGCTCGACGGGAACCAGTTCGTCGAGAACGGGCTTCTCGGCATGTACACAAAGTGCGGGAGCATCGCCGACGCGGTCAGGCTGTTCGACGGGATGGCTAGCCCGAACGAGGTTTCGTTCACGGCGATGATGGGCGGGCTAGCGCAGAGCGGGGCCGTCGACGATGCCCTCAGGCTGTTCGCGCGGATGAGCAGGAGCGGGATTCGTGTTGATCCGGTAGCTGTCTCCAGTGTTCTGGGCGCGTGTGCGCAGGCCTGCGCTGGTGACTACAATGTCGCTCGTGCAATCCGGCTTGCACAGTCCATTCATGCATTGGTTGTCAGAAAAGGTTTTGGATCGGACCAACATTTGGGGAACTCGTTGATTGATATGTATGCAAAGGGCATGAAGATGGACGAGGCCATGAAAGTCTTTGAGTCGATGTCCAGTGTCAGTATTGTTTCTTGGAACATTCTTATAACTGGATATGGTCAACTGGGTTGCTATGAGAGGGCCTTGGAAGTACTGGACTTTATGCAAGAGTCAGGTTTTGAGCCCAATGAGGTAACTTACAGTAACATGCTTGCTTCTTGTATTAAGGCAAGGGATGTTCCATCTGCTCGTGCAATGTTTGACAAGATATCAAAGCCAACTGTGACTACGTGGAACACCCTTTTATCCGGCTACAGCCAGGAGGAACTGCATCAAGACACAATCGAGTTGTTTAGGAGAATGCAACATCAAAATGTGCAACCTGACCGGACAACTTTGGCTGTGATCCTCAGTTCATGCTCTAGATTAGGAATTTTGGAACTGGGCAAGCAAGTGCATTCTGCTTCAGTAAGACTATTGCTTCATAATGACATGTTTGTTGCGAGTGGTTTGATTGATATGTATTCAAAATGTGGTCAGGTTGGCGTCTCACAGATCATTTTCAACATGATGACCGAGAGAGACGTGGTATGTTGGAATTCCATGATCTCAGGTTTAGCTATCCATTCTTTGAATGAAGAGGCCTTCAATTTCTTCAAGCAGATGCGGGAAAATGGAATGTTCCCCACAGAATCCTCTTATGCTAGTATGATCAATTCATGTGGATTGTCATCCATACCTCAAGGTAGGCAGATACATGCTCAGGTTCTGAAGGATGGTTATGATCAGAATGTCTATGTTGGCAGTTCCCTGATCGACATGTATGCTAAGTGTGGCAACATGGATGATGCACGCCTTTTCTTCAACTGCATGATTATGAAGAACATAGTGGCATGGAATGAGATGATCCATGGATATGCTCAGAATGGTTTTGGAGAGAAAGCTGTGGAATTGTTTGAGTACATGCTAACCACAAAACAGAAGCCTGACAGTGTGACTTTCATTGCTGTCCTGACAGGATGCAGTCACTCTGGGCTCGTTGATGAAGCGATTACATTCTTTAATTCCATGGAGAGCAACTATGGGATTACACCATTAGTTGAGCATTATACATGCCTCATAGATGCACTGGGGCGGGCTGGCCGTTTTGCTGAAATTGAGGCTGTGATAGATAAAATGCCATACAAGGATGATCCTATACTGTGGGAAGTTCTTCTAGCTGCATGTGTTGTACATCACAATGCTGAGTTGGGGGAATTTTCTGCCAAGCATCTGTTCTGCCTTGATCCAAAGAATCCATCATCTTATGTGCTTCTATCAAACATATATGCTACCTTGGGTCGACATGGTGATGCCTCAGCCGTTAGGGCACCGATGAGTAGTCGTGGTGTTGTGAAAGGCCGTGGATACAGCTGGGTGAATCACAAGGATGGTGCTCGTGCCTTTATGGTAGCTGATGATCTTGGATCGAATGTTGGAGAACCCACAATGTTCAGTGATAACGAGGACACTTCTGGGATGACACAAGTGCACCTACGCGAAACCTGTGCTGGATGATTTGGAATCTGATGCTGCTGCTACCATATTCACAGAAATCTTAAGCCAATATTAGCTGAATCCAGCAGGCTCACTCTGGTGCAATTTACTTGGGAGCCTCAGGTTTCACTCTTGTTTTAGCTTCAAGCATTACTGCAAATTAGGCGTGGTCTGAACGTTTGGGAGGAAAGTGTGAAATGCAGGAATGCGCATTGAAGATTAGGTGCAAAGACAATTCCATGCTGGATTGCTTAGTTCATTTCGTCATATTCTGCAAAAGGTGTGATGAGCCATGGCATGTGGAAGCTCATACCAATTCCTGGCTCCATGCACCATTATGTGTAAAATTCTATCCAGATGGATCAATGGATGAAAATGTTATTGTTTTTTTAAATGTAGAATGGGAGAAAAAGGTAATACTAACTGTACTATATGTTCTCTTAGGAATCTTAGCAGATGATGTCTTTTGATTACAATTTACAACACGTACTGGAGAGTGATCAGATCGTTTCTTTTCTGATCAGAATACACAGTTTTTGACTTATTGTATCAATTTTTCATTGAAAATTCATAAGACACAACTTCCTCATTAGATCATTAGACCTCAAGTTTACAAGAATTTGCCTGATTTAGATACAAAATAGTGAATATGCTCATCATGATACTAATCTGTATGGTAAATACAATGTTTACAAGCATATGTTCCTTGAATATTAACGTTAGTAGTTAGTACATGTCAACCATAAGTTTGATGCTGACAATGGGGTCACGACTCACAGGAATTGGCAACACTTTATGTCCTGCTTTACATGTCCCCTTTCATCTCTTTTTGTGACAGGACAACATAAAACATATTGCACATTTCTCGTCCATATAATATTCGCCTTTATTTAGTGCAAAGCTTGTTACAACATAATGTCATCTTGCTGACAATCTAAACTGAATGGTCCAAGATGCTCAAACTGTATTAATCTTTTCAGAGCTTGTGAGTTTTAACAAGCAGGAGCGGTAACTTTTGGGTAATCGGAATCTGATTGTGCTTCCCATTCTGTCCAAGATCCATCATAAACTGGAACATCATGCTTTCCAATCCTGTAGAGCCCCTGTAAAAAGAGATATTATTAGGGATTGCTTTGCTAGTGCCTGGTAAATCCAAGATGAACAGGGAAGATTCCAGACCAGAGCAAGTATGCAGGCAGTCACGCCAGATCCGCAATTGACGACAATGGGTTGGTCTAGGGAAATTCCTGAAGAAACACCAAATACACCATACTGTTATTGCTTGGCAAACTTTTCAGAATTTCTGTACATGTTAATATATCCCTAAGAAATACTCAATTTCTAAAAGATCTGAAATGTTAAATTATCAGTATTCTTGCTCTACTTCTCATATTTGTACTTTAGAAAAAATCTTGCTTTCTTTCTTGCCAAGAACACAATAAAATTACTTGTTTCAGATTATTAAAATGAGTTGCAACAGAATGGAGACCTGCTTGCTGAAACTTTTGCCGCAGCTCATCTGCAGAGAGAAGGCTTGGTGCACCATCGAACATCTGGGATGAAGTCAAACATCATCATTTCTTAGCAATTGATGGTTATCCAACTATCATGTGATGTACTGAATCTTTGAATCATACCAAGTTACCAACCTCAGGGAATGGAACACAGATGCTTCCTGGTATATGTCCACTTCTTACCCCTTTCCGTGGTTCTGGTGCTACACCATCAAATCTGCGAATTTGAATGTGGGTAATTTTCTTCAGAACAAGAAGAAACCACAGGCAACTTAGGAAGAGGGGTCAATAACAAAAAAATGCCATCAGCTGCCAATGCATATAATGCATCTTTTTAACAATTAGTTTGAGAATTAGCATATTCACAAATGGTGAAATATATTTTCATCTGTACATCTAACAGTTTAATGTAATTCCTTTGAATTCAGAGTGAGGGCGGAGTCTTGCTTGAACTGGAGCGTTGTGTTTACTAACCTAAGTTTGTACTTGCAAATCATATTCAATTAGCACCAGAACTTCTAGCTGCTACAGTCCGTGTAACTAAAGAGTGAGATGTTACCTGCCCTTTGCTCTGGCATCTATTTGTTGGTAAGTCTTAGCAGTGACATTATGTGCAACCTGTTGCATGAATCAAACAGCTCAATTTGCATGGGAATAACATTAATGTTTCACTTAGTGATAATCTTCATAGCTCCTTTTTGAGTTAATCATATTTACAGAATTCGGAGTTGATCCTATTACTCCAGAGTTGATCAAATTTATGGAGTTCCACCAAATTTTTGGGGCATCAATGTAAAATTAAAGAAAGCAAAAGGGTTCATATGACCAGCAGACTGATACATATTTCAGTCTAAGCATGCAAGGCTAATACTTTCAGGTAAAAAAAGTTACTAGCCTTTTCCAGTGTCCAGAATAGATTAGGCTGAAATTCAGTCTGAAATGTGATTGTATTTGTCTGCACAGACAAAAAAAATATGTAATTATCCAATAAGCAAAAAAAAATGTTTAGTAATCATATGGACAGCATCATTTTAACTCACCTGTTCACCATTATAAACCCTTTCGACAGCCTTATTTGCAGCATTTGATTTCAGAACTGCATCATCAGGGCTGGCATTTTCCACATTGAACCCAGACGCTCGCCACTGAGGTAAACCACCGTCTAACACCCAGACTTTCTTGTGCCCAAACACTCTAAACATCCTAAACATCTTGAAGGAAATCATGTTAGTTAAGTAAAACAATCAGATCACTCTTATAACAAATAAAATAGTGTCCTCGATAAGGTCGTCATTAATTTTGATTACTTTTTATATCAACAGCACAACTGAATAGCAAGTTTCTACTGGTTTCATCATTTTGATGAAGTGGATACTGGAACAGACTTCTGCTTACCACCAAACACGAGGTGCACTGAAGAATCCCTTTCCATCATAAACAATAACTTTATCCTGGTTTTTTATACCCAGCTCAGAAATTGCTGCTGCAAAAGCCTCTTCTGATGGCAGCATGTGTGGTAACTGAAACAATAGCATAGGTAAACATACTATGCTTTAGGAAAAAAGACGAGCCATATATTACTACTATCTTGTGCAAACTAATTGAAAGAATAAGTCTCCATTTGGTGGCAAAATCTAAGTACATGAGATTTGCAGAAAGCTGTATGAACCACCGCAACCCTAGGAAATCGTTGCTGTTTATCTACTTCAACTAAAATAATGAAAAAAAAATGAGGATGCAAAGTATATCCAGAAACATTTCTCACATCAGTTGTCCGATCAACTATGCCATCTAAGTTGAAGAATAGCGCACCAGGGATGTGTGCCACCTGAAGATAATCAGAACACTTCAGCTCCAACAATTATCTCAAAAAGGAAGATGAGACACGTTACAGATCATGCTTAAAACCTGATATTCTTCCCATGGATCCCTGTTCTCTACTGGCATGTACCAGGAAGCATCCAAAACCTAAAACAAGCTGATAACTGTCACAAAGCACATATATCCCTAACCCTCTAATTCCTTTGAGAGTAATAAAACACAATACATAAGAGGAAGTAAGATCAAATTGACAGAGAATCACCCTGTTATGTTCTCCACATACCACTTACGTAGGGGATAGAAGAAGTAAGTATCTCTGAACTTTTTTTTTCGATGAAGGAAGCATTATTAAAGTATCTCTGAACTGAATATGAACAATCAAAATAGATGACTTTCTTTTTTACCTTAACATCAGGCATTCCTAGGTGCTCGTGCAGCCACTGAGCAGAAACAACCGGATCATCCTGCGCCATTACTGACCAGCGGGCAAGCCAAGAGACCTAGGTCGCCGGACTGGATTAGCTAAAAAAACGAAGCTTGCAGGTGAGATTCCCAAGCTAAAGGATAGCCTCCGCTCCAAGAAGAAGAAAAGAGGGAGAATAAACCAAGCTGCCATTAAGGCTAAGATTCGAGCTGACCTTATTGATTCGGATTCCTGCGGCCCTGCGGACTGCGGTAGAGCCTACGGGATTCGGAAGGGGAGCAGCGAGAGAGGCGGACGGGCGAAGGGCGGAGCAGATCTGAATCTCGCTAAACGGATTTGGTCCATACCGTTTTCGTCCTAGGCACGCCAATAAGTACTTGGTTTATTTGCCTCGGATCGATGCTGCGAGAGTGGACTGTGTGCTCAAGTTTGTGTGCTGATAATTATGCAAACTGTGTGCTCAAGTTTGTGTGCTGATAAAGTGATAACTATGCAAATCTCGATCAGCGGCGTCACCACCGGTATACGGACGCCTTGCCCACAAAACACACGCAATGATGCATATGCAGACGACAGCACAAGCCAACAACAGCATGGATAATGCATATCATGTCTTTTCAGTTAAGCACCTGGACAAATACAGCTTTGTAACTCATACATGACAGCTACAAATCTTGCAGATTTCCAACTCAGTTCACAAAAAAAAATTCGCAGTCTTACAGTTCGCCAAATATATGAGGCCCAAACACTGCCGGAGAAGCTATGCGCCTAGCGACAGAGCAGATGTGCTTGGTAATTTTCATGCATTCTTCCTATGAATCATTCAAGTAAAAAGGTCTTCAGTCATTGCGATTTCTTCACCTGAAATTTGAACTCATGCCCGTGCTTCAGTCGCGGTTGATCATCTCCTTAATTGTTTCTGTGTAGCCGTAGCAAATGGAAGCGCAAGGGTGGGGAACTTTAATGTTTGAGATCCCAAAGCAGGAGTTCAGAACTGTCATAATAGCATTCCTTCTATTTATTCCAAGAACAAGGCGATACAGATGGAAGGGCTGATGCTTAAATCATGTTCTCATTCCATTCTTAAATGCCTACATTCATGTGTACAGTTTGTTGAACCTATCCATATATCCAATTGTATTCATACCCTAAGCTTCCATCTTTATCCTCACCAATTCAGTGACGAAATCAAAGCTGCAAACAAATGGATTGTATTCATACCCTAAGCTTCCATCTTTCTCCTCACCAATCCAGTGAAGAAATCAAAGCTGCAAACAAATGGTACTATGTCAAATGCCATTCTTGACAAAGAATAGTTCGTGATAGAACAAACTATTACATGTTGAGGACATATATATGGTACACATACTTGAGTATAATCATATATACAACAAAAATCTTATTGATGGATGAAAAAACGGAGTAATGGGCAATACCTGTTGCCATCTGGGTGCAACTCATAGCTTTTGTTATCCTCATCAATAGCGTATAAGTACCCAGTTGGTGTTAACCCCTGGAAACGATTAAAACCATTATTAGGTAAGTGGAAATATCAATTCAACCATAGCAGTTCTGTTTTGTGCTAACCTGGATGGTGACAACACCACCTGACTTGCTTTCATGTGCATCTTGTACGACAACTCTCTGGCCACTACATAACAGTAAGAAGTGCAAATCTCTTTCACATAAAGTGGCACATAACAAAGATAAACCATATAACTTGCAAGTACTGTCTTCAGATATTTACAATGAACATTTAAAATTCAAGTGGTTGTAAATGTAGTTCAGGGCAAATTTTCATAATAAGGTCGAATTAACATGTATATTGAAACAGTCTTCAGATATTTACAATAAACATTTAAAATTCAAGTGGTAGTAAATGTAGTTCAGGGCAAATTTTCATAATAAGGTCCAATTAGCATGTATATTGAAACAGTAGTACATACCAATGAAGCCATGAGTTATAGTATTGCTCCTCAAGAGCCTGAAATCCTGCAGCAGAATTTGAGGATGTTAAGTACACAACTTTACCAACAACAACAAAGCCTTTTAGTCCCAAGCAAGTTGGGGTAGGCTAGAGTTGAAAAAAAAAATACAGTTAAGTTTAAAACATGTTTTGTCAGCATCTAAATCAGTTATAGGAAAATAATCGGTCTCTACAGCAAAACAAAATTATCATTGAATCCATTGTCAGGAAAGGAACCAACTCTGCATATACATCAACAGCCACGGTTCAATGAGCATGTCTGCATGTGGTCATGTACTGCAAAAATGGGGGGAAATGAAATCCAAAGTACCTTGGTTCAAGAAGATCTCGAATAGATTTTCGAATTTATTGAAGAAGTATGCCAGTATGTCTTCTCGTTTCAATATGGGTGATGTAGGATTTGCCTCTTGAAGTGCAGCATTCAAGCATGTGGTAGGCTTCGCATTGTCAACATTTAAACCAACACCTGATTAAGACCAAAGGAATCCCATCCTTTTCAAAGGAAAAAAAAGAGATTAAATGCTTAGAATCAGCAAAATTGGAAATGCATGTTTTACCCGTACAAATATTGTAGACTTTGGGTTCATAAGATGAGGTACATAGAATGCCACCAACTTTTAATCCTTTCAGATAGAGATCATTAGGCCACTTAATCCTCACATCAAGTTCTGGTAGTCCCTGAGTTTTATCACAAAGGCAGAATGAAATGGTAACTGAGGTAGTTAGCCTAATGAAAATAGGGGACTGACAATATACAATCAATAAGCAGCAAACATGGGTACACTGAATTATAACCTAACCTTGGCACGGCATAGCTCCTTGATAGCTTCGGTAATAGAAAGGCAAACAACATATTGCATAAGGGGCAACTTCCGTGCATCCTGCATCTGTGATGCGAAAGAGAACATGAGACAGCCCGGTGGTGATTCCCACACATTCTTTGAACGGCCTGCATAATTCGTGAGCAAAGATTAAATTTGTTACCTCTCAACAGCACCTAGTGCATACTAAAATATTTGATTAGAAAGATAAAAGAAAAAAATGAAATGCTATGTATGATCTGGTTTAGTCAACTAGTTAAGAGTGTGTTAAACCAATGGAATTTCAATTGTCACAACAAAGTAGAATCAATTAAAACAGTTATGATGAAAAAAAAAGTGTCACGCTACAGTAAGATTCTACTTGTGTTCACTCAGACTGCATTTTTCAAGCAATCTTAAGATTACACAGCATTCAGCAGATAGTTTCATCAGTTTTATCAATGATATCAGAAGTACAAGAGAGCATCAATCTCGCCTGAAATAAAACTCAAGAGCTTTGTAATCAAAGTTGCAAATTCATCAGGACTAAAACACTAACAGCAACAAGCAAGCTCCTAATCACACACACCTCTCCCTTTGAACTGCACGTCGGCAACGCACACAACGCCCACCGGTAGCTTTGCAAAGTTCCTTCGAACACGAGCAGACGCCGAATCAAAGCACAGTAAAATAAGATAAGACCAAACGAAAGCCCAATCCCCAGGGCACTCACCGCGCGACGAGGTCCTGCGTGGAACCAATCCTGGGCGTCCAGAGCATCCACCTCCCAAACCGGCGCGCCCGGGCGCGCTCATGTACACGGCAGCGTCGAAGCCCGCGCCCTCGTAGGCGAGCGCGACGGAGACCTCACCGTCCGGCTCTCCCTCCCCTAGGGCGACGGAACCGGCCGCGGAGGCAAGCAGCTCCTGCTCCTGCGCTGACTTGCCGTACGCCACGAGCGTGGTGGCTGCTCCGGCGGCCGCGGACATGGACACGCAGGCAGGTGGGCGGTGGCGGGAAGCGGATAGGTAGCGGCGGAGCGCGACGGCGGCGAGTACGGCCCCGACGGTGGCAGCGGCCGCGGCCGCGGTGGTTGATGGCGACGGTAGGCGCACGGGGAACCGCATTGCTGTCGCTGTTGTTGGTTTGGTAGTTTGGTCTGCTTTGTTTCCTCCGTCACTTGGTTTTTTTTTTTCAGTGTAAGTGGGTTGTGGAGCCCGACTCCGAGTCATGCACAGGCTTGATACTTGTGGGCCGGGAGAGTGGGCTCAAATGCTGCAGATATTGGGCTGGATCGGGTCCGTTAGTTCAAAGTCGTGATGAACTGGAGCACTTATGCGCAAGTACGTATATTCTTTTGTGACAGGGAAAGTACGTTTTTTAAATAACTAGTAAAAAGGGCCGGAACAGTATATACAATTTATTGTTCGCTTACCTAGATAACTTTGAGCATGTAGATTTCTTCCACGACGACGTAAAGTGTTTCAATTCATCTAAAAATCACACTATATACTTAGATAACCTGAAAATATATGCTTCTCCTAGCTTTAATTTACTCTAATAGGCTTATGTGTGAGCAAAGGTCCGATTTAAGTATGTTTTAGAGAGTTTTACGTGTAGAGCTGTTTTTTTTTCAAACGTATTACTGTTCCTGCTAACTCCAATGATAGCTGTTACGGTGGCGGAGCTCGTCGATTTTGACGCCCAGAGCCACTTCCAAAGGAGTCGGGTGCCTGCGCGAAGGCTTCCATCGGGTCTACTACAAAACTATCTTATAAATGTATAAGTTTATACTTAAATTCGTGATATAATTCATGAAAACATGAAAGTTGTTAAAAAATAACTAACTAATGATGTTTGGTTCGCAGATAGTTGGGTTTTTGGCACTAATGGTATAATTGGGATTGGAGCAGGGGGAGGATTTTAATATCTTGATCCTCCTCATTGTACAACCCTATTGACTTAATCAGTTACTCGTTCATGGAGTTTATAGATAGAGAAGAACCTGGGAATGGATTCGAGGATGAGGGAACTGCAAGTTACCAGAGCTCAAAAGCCTAAGACAGGCGGACAGGCCACACCGGAGGCCAGACCCGGACAGGCGAACAGCAGAGAGCAGACAGCGCGACGGAGATACCGGGTCAACGGCTTGCTGCTCGGTGCGGGCGTGCGGCTGCACTGCTGCAGGCTACGCCGCTGCGGCTGATCAGGCCCCCGGCGCCTCCGACCGCCGACCGCAGGCTGCGACAGGGACCAGGGGCCGAGTCGCCGCGGCAGTTGGCAGGGGCAGTCCGCAGGCTTGCGGCAGGGGAGAGTCGCCGTCGACGACCGGCGGGCGGCGCACAGAGAGCTGGAGACGGAGTCGATTCGGGCGGAGAGCAGGAGACGGAGTCGATGCGGCGGTCGGACGCTCGGTACGGGATCAGAGGAGTCGGGTGTCTGTGTCGCGCCGGGAGGAGTGAAACTTTGGCCCAACGCCTTGGGCCAGGCTAGAAATGTACATATAAGAGTTATTTTGGGCCACGTCTAGCGCTAGGCCCATATCCGCCCATGTCTTGTTCGTGGACCTGAAGGGAAAAAAAACTGCTTCACTGAAATGTGGGGCCTGAATTGATGATGGAGCCCGGTCTGATCGCATGGAGTAAATGCATGCATAGTTATGTTTGTTTGACGGATCATGGCGCGGATGGGGCAGGCGAATGTGGGTCATGCTTGCTCCCATGCATCGCATAGACGGACGACGACGACGATTTGAGAGACGGACGGATGGATCGGTCATTCGGTCCAAGCTAGCAGCAAGCACCACCACCTGCAGCTGATCTCATCTGCGACGATCCGATACTACAGCGTCGTCCGTGGCCGTGCCCCGTGTGCGATCGAGCGTGTCAGTGACAGGAGTGAGGGGCGAGGCCCATCATCCCATGCATCATGCATGCATGCGTAGTACGGAGTAATGTATGGCCTGACCGCCGGCGGCTGGTGCTGTGGTCCGTCCACGAGGCCGCCGCTGGCTCATGCCATGGTATGTAGTGCCTTTTTGCCCATGCGTTTGACGATCACAGCAGCTGACTAGTTGACCAGTTGACCATGGGACTACATCAAACATTTAGGCCTCGTTCGGTGATGCCAGATTCCACCAATATATATAAAATAGAATAGCCCGGCTAGGAAATAATCCTGGGAACCGTTCTCTAGCAAACGAACGGGTCCTTAGGATTTTCTGAAACCCGTGAAATTTAGAAACCGATAGATGCAGGCAGGCAGGCAGCTCCAAGCCTCCAAACCGATCGAAGATATTATATTAACCCCAAGATAACTGCAAGGGTTTTCTGAAATGCAAATCAAAACGAGCAGCTAGTGTACAGGTTTACAGATATTAGTGGGTGAAACTGATATCACAGCCTCAGAAGTAGCTAGGTGCACCCACGTAAAAACGTAAAAACAGTGATTATGACCAAATTTTCACCATATATTCGTATTATCATGATAAAAATCTACGCACTAACAAGACAAATGCACCCCATCGAATTGGCTCGACCTTCGTCCCTGAGAAGAAGTGTGCGTGTCATTCCGCAATCTGCAAATTTACCGGTGCTCACATCTAGAGATGCCAAAACCCTAAATAGTTTCTAAATTCAGCTTTTTTGCACACTGATATAAATAGGTACTCCTTTTGATTTTTTTGGAAAAAATATATAATCGTTATATTTGAGACAATAAAAAAATTTAATTTATTTAAGTAGCAAATGCTTTAGCTTTACTAGCTAGACGTAGTAATTAACATTCTGCGGCATGGTTAGGACAAGCACCGGTTTGTGCCTGGCCCTTTCTAAATGCTGATTGTAATCTGCCTATGGCTAGCTAATAAGGTCTCTCTTTGCTTGCAAAAAAAAACTTTTAATTTAATTAAGGTTATAGGAAACAATATCAACATTGATGTCTCAAATAGATTATTATAGAAACATTTTTATAATTATTCAAATAACATTTATCATTTTGATATCACAAATGTTTGAAACTTAGTTCAATCTAAAGTTATTTAATTGATTCTTTAAAACCCAGAGTTACTGGTAGTTTATGTTCTTTTGAAGTCAGTGGGAATACAATCACGAGATACGGGAGACGACGAATCATGCAAGTGAGAGCATCCCCACTAGTCTCAAATGAAAAAGTGGGTGCCCAGAAGGTTGCAGTAGTACCGTACGTAGAAGCTACAATACAATAGTATGGAGACTATAAAAATTTTGAGGAAAAAAATAGAGAGAGAGAAAGTTATGGTAACAATAAAAATAATATGCTTACTGTACGCTTGAATGAATAATAGCAAGTTCTGTATTAACCTACTACTCGTGCTTCTGAATAAAAATCACTGCTACGGTATGTTTTCATTGGCTATATGCCCCGAGCTGACCAATGATCTTGAAGTAGTACTAGTATAGTGCTGTAGGAGTAGGCCTGGTCAAGGGGCGGGGCCGACGGCCAACACGTGTGCCGTGACTGGCGCCGCTGCGGCTTGCGCGACCGGTCACATCCAGCATTTGTCCTGGGTGGGCGCGTGGCTGTGTCCCCTCCGCCAACTTTGTCCTGGAGCAGAGTGTACCTAGTACGAGTGAAACTGTAAATAGCGGCTGTAGTTTCAGGATCGACGCTGTGGCGGCAGAGTTCAGGAGCAGTACTAGTAACAGCGCCGCCAAAGTTGCTGCCATTTAAATTTAAATAAATTAAATCTTACTACTACTCCTACTTGACGTGTTTTTCGAACACTACAAAAAAGCAAATCTTGGCTTCCAATTGTTGAGGAATTTGCCGTTAAGCCCGTGTTTAGTTGAAAAAAAGTTCCAAAAAAGTGCTACAATATCCATGACATCGAATCTTACGATACGTGTATGGAGCATTAAATGTAGACGAAAAAAAAACTAATTGCACAGTTTGGTTGCAAATCGCGAGACGAACGTTTTGAGCCTAATTAGTCAATGATTGAACACTAATTGCCAAATAAAAACGAAAGTGCTACAGTACTCAAATTCTAACTTTCCCTCCAACTAAACACGCGCTAATCCTACCACTACTTGTTTTACAAATGCACTGTTCCACCGCCCAAAAAAAAACAAATGTATTATTCCACCGCCCAAAAACAAATTATACATGGTGTTTGATTTCTAGCCAGCACATTTTATCTCACCTCGTCTTATATAAGTTTAACTAAGTTGGCTAGTATTTGGTTGGTAACTAAACTTTGATAAATTTTTCTTGACCACTACAAGTCATATCGTACAGTAAAAAAATACGACAAGGTTTTGTTAGATATGACAAAGTGTGACTTTAAATTTTCTGGCAACACTTTTTGGGGCTTGCCACACACTTGCCTAAGTTTAGTTATGGCAATATATGGCTAGGAACTGACAGCCCTGTAATTCTCACTTATCGACATCGATGAGAAGTTTGCAACAAAATAGAAACAAGATAATTAAATAAAATCGTCTCTTTAGTTCAGCTGTGAAAAAATGTCTGTTTTCCCTATGAACTCTATTTTATCTCCCCAGTCCCATAAAAACGTCATTGTCAATTTCCAAGAAGTCAATCATTTTTAATTTTGACTAAGTATATATAAGAAAATATTAATACTTGTGGTATGTAATGAGTATAATTAAATAGATTGTTGGATATATATTTAATAATAAACTTATTTGGAGATACAAATATTACTATTTTTTTCTACAAATCTAATAAAATTTAAAAGAAAGTTTGACTAGCACGAGTCCCATACCTACTCTTTTCATGGGACGGAGGGAGTATGTACCTATATAACATTTTTTTTAAATTTGTTTAGTTTAGTTATGAGTTGTGAAAAAACTGTTGTAAGCTATGAGATATGGAAAAAGTTGTTGTGAACTATTAGCTGTAAAAAACTATGAGTTGTTTGATTAAAACAACTATGAAACATACCTCTCTCTTTATCATCATTGAAACAACAGTAAAACGTCTATCTATTTGCACACATTTGGAAAAACCAAAGGTTGAAAGCGGTCCTAGGTGCTGTGGAAACTATACTATGTGAAAGATGCTGTTTCTAAAAACAGCTTTTGAATGTTTACCCGTTCATGGAATTTAAATATAGATTAATTAC